GGGTCAGAGGTGGGGACCCGGCCAGTGCCCAGGCAGGGGGCTGGCTGCCGTGGAAGGCTCCGTCTGCTCCAACCGTTCCGGTCCAGTGTCTGGGCTGCCATGCCCACGCCACCTTCAGCTCGGTGTCTCATTTCCCTCCAGGTGGCACTTCCCTCAGTTTCTTGGTGCTGGTGACAGGCTGCACGTCCGTGGGCAGAATTCCCGAGGCTGAGATCTACAAGATCACAGCCATCGAGTTCTACCCGCTCCAGGAGGCCAGGGAGGAGGAGCGCCTCGCCGCCCTGAGGAAGACGCTCAGCTCGGGGGCCTTCTACTTCGCGTGGCCCAGCGACGGCTCTCGCTTCGACCTGACTGTCCGGAGGCAGAAGCAGGATGATGACAGCGCTGAGTGGGGAAACCCCTTCTTCTGGTGAGGCCTGGGTCCCTCTTCCTGGCCCCTGAGCCCCAACCCCACTTTGGTCTATGCCCGGGATCAGAGTCAGCGTGTTCTGAGCCCTCTGCGGGTAGCAGCTCCTGTAATCCTCGTAAGAATCCGTGCAGTAGGCCCGTTATCCCCGTTTTACAGATAGGGAGACTGAGGCACGAACAAGTGAGGAATGGGCCACACTCCACACACCTATTTAGTGGCAGAGCGAGGATTTGAACTCAGGCCTTCTGCTCCAGATCCCATGCTGGTAATCACAAAGCAAAGTCAGTCCCATCCATGGGGAAACTGAGTCCGCTTGCTTAAGGTGATGTGTCCAACGTGGTCAGGCAGGCTGGAGCCAGGCAAAGGGGCTGGGTTTCCATAGATTCAGGATCATCTGGGACTCCTTGGTTCCATGTGAGGACAGCTGGGTGGGTGACGTGACACACGTGTGTGACCCGATGGCCTTTCCAACCTAGGGTCACAAGCCTGCAGCGTCTGTGAAAGAGCTGAGGGGACAGTGGGTGCATGCAGTGGGGCCCAGGCCACCTGCAGCCGGGCTTCGCTGCCTGCTCATCACACACCTCTGTGTCAGTCTGCAGGGAGCAACGTTGTGGGCCACCGGGCCTGGGCACGGTCACAGGCACGTGAGCTACCTACAGTGTTCTAGAATTCTGGAGCTCCTTTGCAGCCAGACCAGCCTCCTAGCCGAGATGGGCCTGGGAGGTGCACTCCGCCCTAGGTTGTTTCCCCCCACACACATGGGGCCTGGAGGGCTCCCCATAGGCTACACGTGCCCTGCTTGCCACCTCATCCCTCACAAGTGACTTCCTGAAGAAAGGGACCATCCCCCTCCCTGCGTGTGTCCCATACTTCCCACGTGCATGTACGTGTCGTGCTCAGACAGTAAGGTGCTCAAACTTGAGAATGCAGGCGACTGTCCTGTTGCTCTCACTGAGATGCAGGTCCTGGGTCTCAGATCTCGGGTTCTACCCAGGGCTGTGGTGGTGGGCTGGTGGCAGGCTGCAGGGGACAGCCTTTCTGTGAACTGCTGTTCTACTTTGCAGGGGTCAGCCCATGTCCTGGAGCTGCTATCCCTGCCCCAGAGGCAGCCGAACCTGGGTGCAGGGGGCTGTGGATTGCAAAGGGTCTTTGTGCTGAGAGCAGGGCCCGTTTTCTGCTGGGACTGTGGAGTGAGCAGAGGCGAGGGTTCTCTGCTGCCGTGGCCTTCCCAGGAGGCTGTGGGAAGCCCAGGGGTCTCTGGCTTGCCTAGCACCTTTGTGACCACTCCCCAATGCCGGCTCTGTAGTTGGTGATGGAGGGACGTGGTCGGCAGTAACGCAGAAGGCACTCAGGACGGGGAGGTCGGGAGGGGCTTGGGGGACCGGGAGGCACCCAGGTGTCCCCTCCTGAAGTGGACCCCACCCTGTGTCTTGAGTTGGGGAGCAGGAAGCATCTCAGGAATGTGTTGGACTGCTTGGTTAGAGCACACGTCAAGGGCGGGGCACACAGGACTGACCATGACTGAGTCACCGGGCAGCGTGGCCTACACCCACTGCTTTATGGGCAGCGCTTGAGGTCCAGAGACTCAGCGGGAGCAGATGGGGTCGGCCCCGGACGTGGCCGTAAGTAAGGCCGAGCAGAACGCCACAGCCCTCTCTCCCAGCTGGCGATCAATCATGCCGGTGATCAGTTCCGGCACGGCCGCGACCGGGGAGGGGTGGACAGAATTGGACATCTCCCTTCTGAGATGTGAGCGGTCCTCCCTGCAGAGCAGCCAGGTGTCACCAGAAAAAGGGTTCCTTCAAGAGTTGTCTGTTTGGTGAAAGGTTCCCCTTCTGACCCCTAGTGACAGCCGCTATAGCCAGAAGACTCTGGAATATTCTAGAGGTCATGCCTTGCTGCCTCAGGCAATTTTAGTGTACTCAGTACTAAGCTGGTTTGTCAACCACATTTCAGAGAGTGAAACTCAGAAGAGGGACTCAGAAAAGGGAGCGTATTTTTGTAAAGTAATGCTCCAGGACCATCGTTTTCAAACAGAAGAGCCTCTGGCTGTGACATCTAAGGTGTGGTCAGATGCAGATCAAGCCCCTGAGGGGGTGACAGTGGCCGTGGTCACAGTCAGGGAGGCTTGCCTGAGAGCAGGAGCTTGGAGAACCTTGAGGCCTACATGGATTTCCAGCTCTGAGCACACGCGGCTGTCTCTGAGGGAGGCTTGGGGCAGGGACACGTTGCCGTTTTGAAACAAGTAGGGCATCGCGACCCAAATTTTCAGTACCCTAGAAGAGAGAGTCCCCTGGCGACCGTCCCTGCCTCCCTGTGCGTGAGTTCTGGGCCTCAGAATGTCCTGCATAGGCCCCCTGGGCATCAGGGAGGCTGAGCAAGGCGGGATAGAGACTGATGTGTCTAATCATGGGTGCAGACGCAGGTGCCAGACCTTCCGCCAGAGGTGCTGATGGAGAGCACGGCCGAGCTGCACGGCCGCTCTCTCAGGACCTCGAGAAGGGCTGCGCGAGTTTGCGCCTCCGTCCCTTCATCTGTGAACGGGCCCCTGGACAGTGCCTTCACACAGGTCCCTTCAGAGCTGAAGCGAGTCGGTCCATCCCAGAGTCCTCAGCAGGAGCTCACTGCCCTGAACACTGGCTGTTGTCACTATCACTGTCACCCCAACTCCGGAGCCCAGAATAGCCTGCCCTGCGTGAGGCAGAAACACTGGAAGTTTCAATGAGTTTTATTTTCTTTCCATTCATTTTTTACTTATTCTGGATTGATTTGTAACGTCATGCTGTTCTCTTCACGGTGTGTGTGCATGTGCATGTGTGTGTGTACAGGGGTCTTCAGAAAGTGGACTGAAAATGCATGTTATGAAAAATGCTGGGCCAGCCCCATGGCCTAGTGGTTAAGGGAGCCGAATCCCACATGGCTAACCGTGCAATTTGAGCCCCAGCTCCTGTGGCTTTAAAAATATGCCAGGCATGTTCACATGCCCCAAATCCCAACAGGGTGGGGAAATGGAGGAGAAGAGAGTGTGGTGGGACCACACGCCACTTTGGGGTGCTTTTGCCCTCTCCCTTCCCCATGCTCTTTAACAAAAATCAAAACAAACCAAAAAGAATGCATGGATTTCAATCTTTTTGCTTCAGAATAAATTTGTAATTTAATTCCATTTTTCACAATTTTTTTTTTTTGGAGAGGTTTTTGGTAGGGCACATGTGCTCGCCAGAAAGACAGAAAGCAAGAAATCACCCCCCAGGGGAAATGCCCGCACCACAATCCCTTCTCCATTCTCCTTCCGGGATCTTGGACACGCACCCACACGTGCCTGGCGTGAGTTTAAGCCACCAGGTCCGGGACTCGAACCACGGTCGACTACATGGGAGTCCAGCGACATAGCCATTACGCTAACTGCTGGTCCCTTTCACAATCTTCTTGAAGACCCCTTGTATGTGCGTATATGTATATAATTCAAATGATCATGTGCATATTTAATATGATCATTTTTATCATTTGTCATTTGATCATTGAGCATGATTTTTGTTTAATCGTGAAAGTTGTGGTCGAGTTTTTCACTGATGGGGTTTATGATAAATGACCTGGAGGCCACGTGTCTACACAGAGGCTCAAGGCGCCTTTGAAATTCCTGACAGGTACCCGAGTGGCTCACGCCCCAGCTGAGCTTCCATTTGTTGATACTGACAATCTGGAAACGGCTTGGAGAAGAGACCCCTCCCCCTCCTCCTGCATCTGTGCCCGTGTCCCCACTGCTTGGGGTCTCTCTGGAGCACATGAGCCTCCTGGATCTTAGGTCCCAAGTGCAGAGTCTGTTGGGGAGCAGTTTGCACACCCCGTCTTGAACTGGGATGCCCGGCCCTGCTGGCGTCTGGCCAGGACTTGCTTTGGTGCAGTGTTGCCTGAAGGATGTATGGTGACTCGAATTGCTGTGAGACTCTGTTTGCAGGAACCAGCTGTGGCACGTGCCCCTGAGGCAGCACCAGGTGAGCTGCTGTGACTGGCTGCTGAAGGTCATCTGCGGGGTAGTAGCCATCCGCACAGTGTACGCCTCGCACAAGCAGGCCAAGGCCTGCCTCATCTCTCGCATCAGCTGCGAGCGCGCCGGCGCTCGCTTCCACACCCGCGGCGTCGACGACGATGGCCATGTGTCCAACTTCGTGGAGACAGAGCAGGTCAGTGCCCAGGCCCACCCAAGGCACCAAGGGGCTCGAGTGGACGCAGCTCATGCAGGCATGTTCCCATGTGGGGCAGGGAGGTTCTGATGCACCTGAGGTGGCTTCTGATCCTGGCTCCTTCCTGGGGCTGGAGAGCACCATGTACAGGAACAGCTCCGCTTCGCGTGGTGTGTCTTCCTGCTTTGCCTCTCATACTGGGGAAATGTTGCTTACCCGAGGTATTTTTAGTTAAAAGGAATCAGGAGTGTTTGCCACAAGCATGCAGGGTGGCAGTTATTCTGAGAGCCTCTGACAGCTGAGCCAATAGGGTTTCAGCATCTTTTTGGTTGTTTTTTTTGTTTGTTTGTTTTTTTTTTTTCAGGCAGGATCTCGCTGTGTCACAATGCTCTTGCCTCAGCCTCCCATGTGGCGGGGACACAGGTCCAGGCCACCATGCTCAGCTCTTTACAGTGGTCCAGGGGTTGGGCCCAGGCCTCCCATGTGGCCTCAGCCTGCCTCGGAGCAGCATCAGCTGGTATATGCTGTGACAAGGTTAGGGCTGTGCTCTAAACCTTCTTAGGACAGAAATAAGTAGATCCACACGCTGGAGGGATGAGAGAACTGCTGGTTTTTATTCCAAGGAACTGCAGCTTCGTCCTAGCAGTGAGCGTTAGCACCCAGGACCTGTGATGTCTGCATGGGGAGCAGCAGGCTGTCATAAGGTCGTGTGGTCCTGTCAGTTTAAAACGACAGCTGTCTACTCTCAAAGTTCTGGAGGCTGGAAGTCTGAACTCAAGGTGTCGGCAGGGCCACGGGCTCTTCCTATTTCTGCTGTCCTAGGGGCAGCAGGCTGCATCCTCCTGTCCCTGAGGTTATCTTCGTGTGGCATCCTTGCACGTGCATTTCTTCAAGTGCCCTTGTGTGTCACCCTCCTCTTAGAAGGACACCAGGCTCACTGGATTAAGGACCCACCTTCCTCGTGTGACCTCACTTACCTAATTATATCTGCAAAGGCCCTATTTCCAAATAAGGCACATTCCGAAGTACTGGGGGGTTAGGACTTCAACATGTCTCTTTTGGAAAGAACACACCTCAGACCATAATAAGGACATAATTCTTCATTAAAGAATTGAGCTTACCTGGTAGTCAGAAAGAGAGAGAGAGAATTCCCCATGGAGTGTGGCCATGTCACAATCCCCTTCCTCCATTTTCTCCCTCTCATGAGGATTTTGGGCATGCATGCACATGTGCCAAGCATGTTTCTGGAGGTTTCTGGGGCCAGGATTTGAACCATGCCTGGCTATGTGGGATCCTGTTCCCAATGCATAGCGCTTAACCACTGCGCTAGGGGCTAGTCCATGGACTGAGCTTCAAACGCAGAGTATTTGACTTTATGAAGAATCTCCCTGTGGTCTTTGCTTGTCTCGTTTCCACAGACTTCCAAGCACCCACAGAGGAGGGCTGAAGCCTGTGCTCTGGTCATTTCATGTTGTATGCCTGGTAACTTGTGCTTGTGTCCTGTGTTCCCAGTGTGCTTGTGATGGCTCAGAGGCAGGGACCTTGTCCCCACATCTCCTGAATCTGTACCTCAGGGCAGCCTTGAGGGCATAAAGGTAGGAACAGCCTGCCTGTCTACGAGCTCCAGCCTGGTGCTGCTTAAATGGACTCCACCTCTCTTCCTTCTCAGGGTGAGAGGAGGGAATGTTTGGCTCCCATAAGCCTTTGCAGTCTCTCCTGTGGGCTCTGGGCCAGACAGTACTACTTTCTCTATGAAGCCTAACCCTGACCCAGGAATGGCAGCTGTAGACAGACAGCTGGACACCACCACCTGTCCATGAGATGCAGGCAGCTGTAGTCACTGTCCTCGCCCCAATGGAGGCAGTGACTTAACCCGATGGGGACTCCGTGGCCTCCCCCTGAGCAGTTCTTTGCTGAGCATGCTCATTGCAGGCTGTTCCTGATGAACTAGGGGAGGAGGTGGCCAGGCTGGCTCTGCCATCCCAGAGAGCCCAGGCAGACCGAGTACCCTGATGTTGGGGGAGAAGGAAGCCCAAGGGAGAGGGCAAAGTCACCACCCAGAGCTGAGCCCAGGGTTGTCCTTGGCAACCTGGAAGCAGAGTCTGGTTGTGAGCCTGAGGGTGCAGCTCTGCCCCCTGCAGCGAGGGGAACGGGTGCAGAAGGGTTGGCCCTCTACGCCACTTCCCACAGCCAGTGCCCAGCTGCCTGCCCCTCCCCAGAGAGCTGGGCAGGGAGAGGCCTGTGTGCTGGAGACCAGCCAAGCCAAGGGACGGAGAGCGGAGATGTGGAGAAAGACCAGAGAGCAAAGAGAGCGGGTCAGCGATGGCACCCTGGGGCCCGGCGGCCTGGAGCGTTAGCCATTCCCCGAGGCCAACTCCAGTGGTCTCTAATAAAGCCACAACCTCCCATATTCTACAATGCTGAGGAGGCAGGAGGAGCAGAAGTGGCTGGAGGACACGCCTGTTCCCGGAAGAACAGGAAACTCGTGTGGCTTCACTCCTACGTGAGAGGAGAGCCACTCGCTCTGTACCCAGAGTCACTGGCCTTTTGCCGTATGGCACGTTACGGCACAGTAGGTGTGCAGGTCGGTCTAGGCTTTTTTCTTTACTGCCAGCTGGCCTGTGTGCCCACCAGAGAGACGGAGGGCACTCTGCAATGGGACATGGGCACACTGCAGTCCTTTCTTCGCCATTTCTCCATCCTGTTGGGATTTGGGTCACACACACACACACACACACCTGTTTTTCAGGTTGCCATGGCCAGGCTTTGAACCATAGCTAGCCATGTGGGATCTGCCTCCCGATACATAGTGGTTAACCATGGCACTATGGGGCCAGCCCCTCCTGTGTGTGTGTTTTTTAAAACACGAAAAGCGATCTTTAAGTAGGGTATGTACTCCCTGTGCTCCTGCTCCATGGCAGCTCTGCCTGCCTCTCGGCCACCAGGAGATGGGGTGGGGGCTGGGATGCAGCTCAGCCCAGCCGTTTAGGTCTTGCAGAGCCCAGGGAAGTGGCGGAAGGCTGACTGCACAGTAGGTGGGAGGGAACCTGCTTGCAACCCTGTTGGGCTGAAGTGATCCGATAGGACCCGGAGGGTCGCTCACTGGCCGCTGGCACGTCCTGCTCCCTCAGGTCTGCAGACCTGTGACCGAGGGCCCCTAGTTGGAGTGGCATCATGGGGCAGTCTGCCAGTACAGATGTGTCTCAGTGGCACATGGCTTTGCCGATGGTGAAATGCCAGGGGGCCTCCGGATGGCAGTGGGTCCGTGGACAGAGCACAGCTGACTCACCCCTGGCAGGGCGGCATCGCCCCCTCCACCTGCAGCAGCAGCAGGTTAGACTCCCTTCTCGCGCCAGGGTGCAGGCAGCAGCTTCGAGATGAGTGCTGAGCCCGGCGAGGGAAGAAGGGGTGCTCAGGAGGCAGTGCGGCCCTGTGTGGTGTTGCCCGAGCATCGCTGTTTCCCGGGGCCCTGTGAGGAAATAAGACTGCAGACCCGAGCCCCTGTGACGTGGACGCCGAGGCCCTGTGGTTTAGGCAGAGGCAGCTGGGTGGCCTGTGCAGTCGTCACTTACAAACAGCCAATGGGATTAGCCAAGGGCAGAGGGCTGGCAGGGGAAATTGGCTTCTCTTGAATTAATCTTCAGGAAGCCAGAAAAGGGAGGTGCTTGCGGCCCCTCCACCTCTCCCTTAGTTTCCCGTTTTTCCTAAGAGGGAGTAGCTAATCTCTCTCCTAGGTAGGCTGTGTGTGTTCATGTGTTGTGTGTATGCATGCATGTGTGTATTGTACGTGTTGTGTATTTGTATAGCATATGCATTTGTGTGATATGTGCTCCCGTGTGCTCTGTGTGTTGTGCACACATCGTGTGAATGTGTTGCGAGCTCTGTGCATTTGTGCAGTGTTGTGTGTGCATCTGGGTGTGTGATGTGCGCCTTGTGTGTATTGTGTTTGCATTGTCTGTGTGTGGTGTGTGTGCGCGTATGTATTATGTGTATTGTATGTGTGCATGCACATACAGCGTGTGTGTGTGTGTGTGTGTGTGTGGTATCTCAGTCTCCTGGGAAGGAAGCCTTGAGCCTTTTCGGCTCTGCCGTGAGTCATATGGGTGGGCTCCCTCCGTCTGCACTGGTGACTCACCGTGCAGAAAAACAAAACCAGAAAGTCCCCTGAGTATCTCCAGAAAAGTCTGCAAGATGGATCTCCGACTCTTGAAGACTAAACCTGATGAATGCAGGGAGGCGGGGCGACTGAGCACGCCCGAGAGCACGACTGGGGTGGACGGGTTTGCGGTGGTCACACCGAGCGTGGCAGGAAGCCCCTCAGATGAAGGGTGTGCCTGGTCACGAGTTTTCCGGCTTCGCCCCTTGCTTTCTAGAGCCATCTGGTTTCTGCTCCTCCCATCCAGGGTCACAGCCCAGCTTGGCCTCGCAGCAGGTTCGGTGTGGGGGACCCTCCCTCAGTCTCCCTCTCCCTGCCACCTCCTACCTGATCTCGGGTTCCTCCTTCCCCGATCCTGCTCGCCCCAGCACCTGCCCTGCGCAGTTCTTACACGCTCCCTCCCTCACTCCTCGCACCTCTACCTGGTGGGCGCCTTTAGCTCCTTTAAGAAAGAGGGAAACTGAGGCTGAGAGGGGCTCGGCGCCCACTCAGGGCCACCCTGCTGGGCGCGTGTTGGACCCACATTGTGCTCTTGCAGCAGACCCCAGTTCTTCCCTCCTGTCACTCTTCGTGCGGCTTCCCCTGCCCAGGGATCCCGAGTGTCTTCTGTCAAAGTGACGTTTGTGAGGTGAGACGTCGCATCTTCCACTTGTGTTAAAACCAGGTGTTTTAGTTTTGTTTTGTTTGCCCAGAATGGACGCACCATGAGGCATCGCCGGAGGTGGATGGGCAAGTTAGGCCCATCCCTTGGGAACACAGGCAGTGGTCCCGAGGGTGGACAGGACCCAGCTGTAGGATGCCCCGAGGGCAGGAGGAGTGGGGAACCCTGATAGGCCCCTCTTCCGACCCCAGCCATGGGTGGGGTTCTGATCGCCCTGGGCAGGTGGGGTTGGGAGTGGGTTCTGTGCAGTCTCAGCTCCGGGGACCCTGGGCACATGCTGGGCGCGGTACTGTTAGCAGGAGGCCCTGGAGTGAAGGACGGTAGCTCTACCCGGGTCGGATCCCAGCGTTGTTAGGTCCTCGTAGAAAGGTGCTGCTCGGTTTCTCTCTCGGGGCTCGGCTTGTGCAGTCACAGCTGCCGGTCGGTCATGAGCACCTGGTCCCGGTTAGCCAGCCGTGCCTGCTGGGTTCCAACCACCTACTGTTTCCTTGTGCCCTTGCGGAGTACCGAGGCCAGCGTGTTTGCCGGTTCTGTTCCTGTGGAGTTTACGGGGTAGAATTGCAATTCAGGGCTCACGGGGTTCCTGGGGTCCAGGGGAACTGCGGGTCTCATTTTCAAGTGCTCCACGGAGGATTACTAATGCATGTGTGACCCGAGTGTGGTCTGGCCCCACAGAAAGCTACCCTGGAAGGCAGCAGGCTGGTAAGATGGAAAGGACCGGCCACGGCGCCCAGGCTGGCCCTGCCGCCCGGCTCGGGTTGCACAGATAAAGGCTGAGCATCTGATAACTGCTGCAGCCTCCCTACCAAGCCGCAGAACTGCTCTGCCTGTCCTTTAAGTCCTCGCACTCCGTGTCGCCGCAGGCTGGTGGCGCACTCTGAGGTAGCTGTGCTGGTGGGTGGGGGAGGCTTCTGGGAGTGCGAGTGTCACTGGTTCTGTGAGGCGTTGTCACGCTGGTGGAGAGGGTGCTGTTGACGGAGCACTTTAGGACAGTGGGGCAGGGCCGGGACAGGGACAAGTCGCGTCTTGAGCTGCGCTGTCAAGTGCGAGACTGGCCGTGCTGCTGGGGCTCCTGGCCAGAGCCCCTTCCTTGGGCTCCATTCAGTCCGTGTCCAGTAGCCGTCTGCCCCTTAGCTATTTGCCACGGTAAAAATAGAGACCTGCGGAAGGACTTAGATAATTCCAGAGCACACGTGCTTCTAGTCCTAACGTGGAGGGAGTGGCGGGGGGGAGGTCATGCCCCCCCATGTGAATTCCCACAGATCTGGGACAGAGGCAGCAGGCCTGGGGGCCTCGAGCCCGCTCCAGAACCCTTCTGGGGGGCTATTGACAGCCATTGTGCCCCCTCTCCCGCCCAGCCAGGGTTCAGGGAGCAGTGCCAGCCTCACTGGGTGACAGGACAGAGGACGCCGAGGTCCGCTGTCTGTCCTTCATCCTGCGGTGTCGGGTCACAGGCGGCGGCTCCCATTACCGGCCCAGGACTTTCAGCGTCATTGAAGAATACTTTCCCTTCCTGTCCCCTTGTGCTGCAGACGGTTTACATGGATGATGGCGTGTCGTCCTTCGTCCAGATCCGGGGCTCCGTTCCGCTGTTCTGGGAGCAGCCAGGGCTTCAG